CCCCCCCCCCCCCCCCCCCCCCTCCCCCCCTGAATCCGTAAATGGTTGTGCAGCGGCACTGGGCCCTTGCTTGCCCTGGATTGCATTTCTGGCTTCTGTAGAAGACAAAGTTGAAAATACGGGAAGATGAGCAAACGTTTTCGTATATAACACACAATTACACCATACTGCTTTTCTAGATCTGTATAAAAACTACTGCCACCAGTGAAAAGGGCTCATTTGACAGGAAAGTGCGCCTAAGTAACACAAAAATTATAGATTTCGAATCACCTACAGTCTTAAGAAACAAAAATTTCACACGCACCTTTGGGAATTTTGCGAGAAGTTGTGGAAGTTGTTTGAAAAAATTCATTTTATTAGTATTATCCATTTGACAGAGCAAATCCAAACAGTTCAATGTCCTAATCAACGGCTCATCGAAATATGCAATCTAAAAAAAAAATTTTTTTTAATCCAATTTCTGAATAAAAAAACAAAAAAATCATCGAGCGGAACAAGGAGGAAATCCTAAAAAAACCCGAATAAACAAGGGTAGCATACACTCAAATATCTGGTATAAGTCGACTGCAGCGTCCAGGTTGGCCTTGGATGCCAAAGTGTTGAAGGCGTATTGGATACAAAGCAGGAAAGGATGCGGAAAGGAAGCAAGAATGAGATAAGACGTTTCGGTCCATTAAGTCATATACGTCTTAACTCAACAATGCGACAGTAAACTACTATTCCCAGTTTGTAAGGTGCTTTGTTGGGGTCTAAAAACGGTAACATTCGAAATATAAGGCCTTTTCAAGCAATTTTAATTTCGTGACATAAGGCCATGTCAAGTAAATAAATAAAAGGCAGTACGGAACTCAAAGGTCCTGCGGGGGAAAGGAAGACGGTATTAACCAGGGCCAGAAACAATGGCCCATTCAGCGCGGGGTAACGACCGGCAAGGGTCGCACTAAAAGGTAGGACGGTGGTCATCCAGAACCCAACGAGGTAGTGAAGAAAGGAAAATAAAAAAGGTCAAGATTGTTGTGGCGCAGAGTGGTATGTGAAAAAGTCATGTAAAGAGTTGTATGTAAAAAGAAGCATGCCAAAACGTAATCCTAACGGAAAAACCGTCAAGCTAATGACTCTTTTTTCTACGAAACAAAACGAATAAAAAACGAAACAAAACGAATAAAAGGACCGGGAGCAGGCTGGCTGTCAGAACTGCTCAAAATAATTGGGGAAGGATGTGGCACCGGTCAAAGTAAGTGGAAAAGTTATCAACTGCACAGGTAGAGAAAAGCTATAAATAGCAGCTGATTCTTGCCTTCTTATTACGTAATTTGCAAAAAATACATTAAATACGTAACAAAACCAAAGTTAGCAGTGCTTCGGTCAAATTATTCTTTCATTACAATGAAAACATAAAAAAATTGTGAGGAAAACATGCTAACTTTCGAAAATTGTGTAGCATCCGGTCGAAGATCGGGCGTTAAATTCAAGCAAACTTTCAGATCTTCACGAAGTTCGGCAGGAACATTTGCAAAAACGGATGCTGGTAAAGCTTTTAACTGAAAAATGACAAAAGCAAACATACATCAGCTGCGCAAAAAAAGATCCCCCCCGATACACTCAAGAAATATTTGATAAAAATTTAACTGAACATTAAATCAATAAAGATGAAAACGTCCAAGCTGGATGAAAAAAAATCATAAAAAAATGAGTTTGGCCGGAAAAATGTCCTCCAAAAAAAAGACAGCAAATCTGGTCGAAATAATGTCCTCCAAAAGATGCGCCTCCATTAAGAGTGTACACCAAAAATATCACTTTCATCAAGACCTCTTCCCCGCCTCCCCTTCCTCCCCCCTCCCCCCCGCCCCCATCCTCCCAGATAATTCGTCTGGAGCCATATTAATGATGTTATTGGGATGATCCAACAGGCTGGGTACAGTAATTCCAGACTTTTCGAGCCTAGGCTGCAAAGTTCTAGTTTGGCGCTTGTAGCCTGTTCGATTTATGTGTGCCATCTCTTCGGAAGCCGCTCGAATGATGTTTAGACATCCACTGATGCACGCAACGCCCATCGATTGGCGTTAAGGCGAGCAACAGTGCCACGAGACATTACTTTTTCGCACAGTTCGTCAAGATATTCTGCACACTGCTTATGTGCTCGAAAGTATGATTGCTCATACTGTCATTAAGAGGACTTCGTGGGCATCCTTCGCTCTACGGCTCTCTTCATCACAGCTAGTGTCCACCGCCTGTTCGATGTATGTGCGCAACTTCTATGGAAGTCGTCCAAATGGTGGCTTATGTTCCTGGGAAAACTATTCGCTAGTGCACAAAGTCCACCGCTTTCAACAAAGCCAGCAACTTTCTCTACCAGCCGAGAAAATGTGATCAAAAAGTATTAGTGCTGCTTTCATCAGTGATAGCGTTTCGCATCTATATCTCACTTTCTCCGGCATTACTATTACTGCTATTATTATTATTATTATTATCATTATTATTATTATCATTATTATTATTATCATTATTATTATTAT